TAATTGCGCTTTATATCTGGAATCAAACTTGGGTCCACTAACAATAATTTTGTTGTCTTTGCTTGGGACCTTCTTTTGTCATCTTCTGAAAAATTAAATATACAGATCAAATTAGATGTAATTATATTCGTAATCACATAACTACATAATCATCTTCATTATTTACCTGGTGCACCAAATACAAATAAATTGAGCTCTGAACTTTCTCTTCTCTTATTCCATATTCTTCTAAGGTCCTTGAAATCATCAGTAGCTAATTGATTTCCAAGAATCCATCGTTGGATGGCAATTGGTATTTCAAAATCATGCAAAATTTTGCGCTTTAGACCCAATAAAGTCATACACTTTGGTATTTGTAGCAAAATCGGGCCTTGGTGCGAAAGTTTGTCTTCCACATATAAGTCCAAACTGTAAAAGATTAAATGATTAACAACTTACTAATAATGTTATGTAATCTTAGTTTTTATCTCATTATTTTTAACTTACGTTACAATAACTGGACCACCACCTTTAGGGGAAGAATTTTGATTCTGTTGTCTGATAACAGAACAATTTACTTTTAAGTTTGCCAAATCTTTAGCAAGTCTAGCCGCGTCCATTTGGCGTCCATCAGCAATCGCATTTTCTAAACTTTTTAACAATTTATTAATTTCTACAGTATTATTATTATTATTATTTGCTGTATCTCGATTCTTCATTATACTTTTTGGAAATTCTTAGATCTTCTGTTAAACATCATAATCGCTAGTGTGAATGTGTCCTTTTTCTGCACTTGCTACTTTAGATTGACTCATATAAGGATTTTTGTTTTTGATAAATTGGATTTATTTTAGCATTATTCATGCTCACAAAATCACGAGCTTGTATTAATTCGTATGTTCTATTTCTAATTTTTAGTTCTGGTGCTTGATAATTTTCTGGCATAATAGGTAATATGGTTTCAATGATTGTTGGCGGTTTGTTAGTCGGCTCGAGTTTTCTTATGACACCACTTGTTTGACATGAACTAGACCCTTTCAGTGGTTTATTTGCATTTTCATTCCGAACTTTGATATCATCAAATTCTGTATGAGTCGTCACGACATAGACAGACATTCAGGCTCCTTCGCAGTTTCAGGTTCATTGAACACCTGAGTTTTTTTAATAGCAACCAAATTTATTGGTATCATCTTTAGGGAAATTCTTTGCATCATCTTTGAAGTTTTGAGGTGTGTGTACAATATGCTCAGGCTTATTAATATTTTAGGCTCCGGGGTAACAGGTTTCCGTGGAGGAATATGTTGTTTCGGCAAAGAATTTTTCATTTCTCTCAAGCGTTCAAATAATCTGCTTTGTTCTAACTCATTTTCATCACGATTAGGAATGGGAGCAATATCATCAAGATTAGCGCTAAAGCGTTCTAATCTGATTTACGTACTTCTTCCATGTTAGGCTTTACAAATGTTTTGTTTAATGAACTATCATTATTGAATTCCATGTTTTGGTTTAATAAACATTTTATTAGCTGCATTATCATTTATAGGTTTAAATTCTTATTAGTTGAAATGTTTAAGTTGTTTACATCCATTTTTTTGGTTTCGTGCAATTGATATACTTCTTTATTCTTGGTTCAATACATTTTTATTACATTTTCATTTATTGGTTTAAATATTGATCTGTCAGATGATGATTTTTCAAATCACACAAAGAGTTTCGAGTTTTTGTTGGAAAGTATTTTTGAGTTCTTTTTCCCAATCACCTAATGTCCGTTTCCTCCTACTTTTGGGGGAATCTGTAATTTTTGCGTTCAATTTGCCATCATTTATATTATCTTTCGATACATTGCAACTCGTGCAGGTCGATTTCCAGTGCGGATTTTGGGCGCTACAGTTTTTACAAGTCCAATTTATAGACGAATTCAAATTGACTGAAGATTGTGACTTCATTGGAAACTTTTTAGGAAATTCATTATCAAGATTGTCATTGATCTCTTGTTTTTCTAATTTAGGAGAATTACTTGTGCGATTCATTGGAATTCCCGAGTTCAACTTTGATTCAATATCATCTACTGAAGTTAAGTTTGAGGCCGGTTTTGTAAATCCAGATGTGCTGAAGATACTTCTTTTCATTGGCGGTGTTTCAGATTCTTGAGCGGGACTTGTTTTTGAAGAAGTACCTAATAAATCAGAGTTTTGTAAAAAGTAAGCGGTTGGTGGCTTATTAGCATTCTTTGGAAATAATTTCGCAGATTCTTTCGGATTGAAAAATGCTGAGTTTACAGTAACTTTAGTCACGTTTGTGATAGCATTGAATTTTGATATCAAGTCTCTTGCTGATTTTGGACCATTTTCCTCTTCTTTGTCTGGAACATGTGGTCTAAGAAAACTCGGAATTTCATCAAACTCGTCATTTTGGCTTTGTGCCCGTTGGCTATTGACAATTGCTGCTGCTTCGCGATCTAATTCGCTTATATTTGCCAACATTGACAAACCGGATTTTCTTTTTTCTGAATCTTTCTTTTTATCATCAGATTTATCATTTAATTTTGAGAAGAAACTGAATCTTGGATTGTAATCGCTTGCGGTACTACTTCTATAGTAGTTCACTTCAGGAAAAGCTGCATTTTCTTTATCTTTAGATTTTTCTAAAGGTTTATCTTTTTTGAAATCTTTAGAGTTACCACCTGTGCGTTTATACCATGGCCTAGGAGATACTGGCGGTACATCTTTGATTTCTTTTCCTAACGACATGTCTTCTTTAATAATAATGGATTTGCTTGGTTTCAAAACACCTTTTTCAAGCTTCAATGAATCATTAGCTATTGAAGGGTCCTCTTTAGGAATATCACTAGGGTCTTTTGGGTTATCCATATTATTAAAATTATTAGGTTTAGTATTTTCGTTTTTTAGCTCAATTGGTGGCGGAGGTGCTGGACGCTTTTTGCGGGAAATAGTTGATGATCTCGATTGTGAATTAGTTTGTTTTGAACCGTTATATTTAGGAGGCGGTGGAGCACGTCTTTTACCTTTAACATGAACATAAGCACCAGCTCGTTTATCCTTCGATGAATCACTGGCAGTTCTTCTGTGACCTTTTACAACACTTCCATTTGCACTTGTATTAATATCACTTACTCTTGTTATTGGTAAACTTAAATCACAATAATTTCCATTATTTTCAGTTTTTATTTTTTTAGGATCACTAAAGTCTATGCGATCATTTTTTCGTAAAGTATCCGCAGCATACAACCTATATTTTTTTCGCAGGGTTAAATTGCGATCCAATTCTTTTAGTCGCTCCCTTTGTCTCAGTCTTTTGCGATAAGTTTCAGTATCAGGTCCAGGAGCTATGAGGGTTTCTGGCTGAGAAGCTGTACCGAAGGGCTTATAAATATTAGGAGGCACGTAAGCGAAACTTGTGGCTGTTGCTGTTGAAAATAATGAATTCACACTTTCATTGCTAGAAAATAATGGACTCACTGGTCTACTTAAATTTTCGTCTTCACTGTCTGTGTCTTTATCATCTTTTTTAAACCAACGGAGGAACGAAAAAAATCCGCTAGATGTTGGTCTTGGTAAACTTCTTCTTCCTAAATTTGGAACTTGATTAGACTCTGTAGATACTTCTTGTGGTTGTGAAGATGGTTCACTGATTGATCGTTGCATTGTCACTTCGCACACATGACTTGGTGTTTTGCATGTGCTCTCCCAAAGAGTACTTCACATGGTTTTGAATTTTGAACATTCTGTGGAGAAAATAAAAATTAAAAAACTGTTTAGAGCGTGCTCTCTTAATGGATCTTAATTTTTCAAATTGGTTCAACCTCGTTGAAAAGTAGAAATTTCGCATACATCAGAATAAATTGAGAAAATATAAAAGTGTAGTGATTTTATATATATATATATATATATATATATATATATATATATACATCTCACAACAACTGTTCTATATTTCTAATTTTAGCATCGTGTTTTGAATTTATGTACTATGTAGTTAGCCTTATGTGCCGTTGAATCATGAAAGTCTATAAAATATTTTTGAGTCATTAACTCTAGACAAAGACTTCAGTACTCGAAGTGCTATACGTATATGTTGTCATTAAATTATTTTCTATTTAAAGAGGCGATATCATCCGTCTTAATTTTATTTTCACTAGCAGTTACTTGGATTTTCGTCAAATGACAAGTGCAAAATGGTGCGTCCGTCCGTATGCACATTTTGGTGCATTGCCAGAAATATATTATATCCAGCTTACAGATTTATTGCAATATGGACATTAAGATCAGATTAGAATTACTGGCTTGATTTATATTTTGCCACAAGATGGGTATTGAAGAAAATTATTCAGATTAAAACAATATTTGCATTTATTATAGCCAAAATGTGTTAACGCATTTTCAAATACCACGCGTGTTCTATTTTGCTTATTCAATTATTATTTTTTTACTATTTTTGCATTTTATAATGCGTCTCCTATGTATCTAGAGGTTTCATCCAATTTAAATATATTATAGCAAATAAATTAATCTAGAAAATAATAATTATTATTATTCCAATTTCATATGTTATTAATTTTTTGAATATTTTGTTTTCGCCAGAAAATCCAGTTTACTAATATTATGTTTTCCCGACGTTTTAAGTCATTCTGGTTTTATTAATACCAAAATTTGATCTGTCGTTGAGGTTTTCTTAAAAACAAGTGAATCGATTTTAAAATTTTAAAAGTCATTATTTAAAACTTGATAAGATGCAAAAAATTGACCACGTTTGGCATCTTTGAGGATTGTCCTAATTAGTTTTTAATAAAGATTGCTCTGAAAGTTTAATAATTTTTTTGTGATATTGATATTTTTTTTATGATGATAGTAGTTCATGGTCGTAACAAGCATTATTAACTATTATGAGCTTATATGAAAAGTAGTTTATATATAAAAAATTATTAAGATTTGGAATAATGTTTTGTGGCAAAATGTTAAATTTCTGTGGCCACAATTCTAAAAGTTGCTAAATCTAAATTCTCATTGATTAAGTCGAGATTACATTTTTATTTCAAGTTTTTGCAACTTGCCTTCCTCCTAAAGGAAAAGTCAAATTTTATGCTCTTTTTGTATTGTTATTTTTTTTAATAAATATAATATTTTAGTAAATAAAAAAAATGTGTATAGAAATAGCATATACAGTTTATAATGTCTTCTTAACACTACTTTTGTGGCAGCCTGACCTAAAAATGATTGTTATGAACGTGTGGCCTATAAATACATTCTAAATGATTGGGGCAAATAAATTAGATTTACGAAATATATTTCTATAACTATAGTTTGTAAATTCCAAATTATTTTGTTATGAAAATCTGTAATATTTAATAATATATATGTAATAACAGTTAATTAATAATATATACGTGATTTATAATGGGTTATCATGATATTATCGTGAGGAAGTATTAATTGTTTAACTTGCTTTGCTATTTTAATCTAGATAAATTATTTGAAAAATGAGTCATGATTTTACAAACCCCTAAATCATGGCAATAGTTTTAATTCTGATAGCCATAGCATTCTGATTTTTTTTATAAATTTTAAATACAAATGTCGAATAGTAATCGAACAATTATATTCTATAATCCATTGGGATATAATTCTGATACTCAAAAATTCCTATTAAAATAAAAAAATTACAAAGTATTAAATTTTGGTCTATTCTCTTATTATAAGGCAGTTCAAAAAGAAATATAAATATCATTTTTTTTTAGAAAAAAGACAATAGAAGACCAAAGTTTAAAAATTTTGTTAAGACTACATATTTGGGAATTAATCCAACTTTCCTTTAATTATTTAGAGTGCACATGTAAACTTATTTCGTTACCTATTTGGCAAAAATAGATTATATGTTGATATATATATATATATATATATATATATATATATATATATATATATATTCTAATGATCACTTTTTTCTATTGATACTAATTGTATGTCCAAAAGACCTATTTTTGCTAGCAATATATTTGATTGTCGTATCTATTAAACACGTGTAACATTACTAGAGTACTTTCAGTATTCATAATTACATTCGATTTTTATAAATCTATGAATTTAATATTACTAATAATAGGAAAAAAATAGATTCTTTGGCTTTCAAGTTATACTTCTATATTTGCACACGTACACCTGCGCAAGGCTTAAGCTGTTATTTGATAGCATCTGCTTTCATATATGATACTAACATAAAAAAACAATTTTTAAGCACAAGTTACACATTTTAAAACAAATTTTACTTTATTACTAATATTTGTTACTCACCACATTTTATCAACCTAATTTCCTGTTTTACTTCCACACTAGCACATATTTTTAATCAAAACAACAGATATTGATTCCATGCACTTCTAACACAATTTATTTATTTTATCACTATATTTTGGGTTAAATATCACATTTTTTTAATTTTTAAAAGGGTGAAGCAACCGTATATGCTTTCGCCACAACTGCGAGATGAATTGGATGAATTCATGCTTGCACGAGGAGTTGGTTGTTCATTCCAAGTTCGCCGGCCGTAGGGCTAAATTTAGCATACTGCCACTAAGTTCTATTCTTACACCAAAACGCCTAATACAATTTCACATAAATTGCCATCAGAAGAAATTTTAATATTCATTATATTTTGACCTATAGAAAATATATAAAAATAACTTGATCTGAACTTATAACCAGATTTAACTATAATTATAATTAGATGGTATAAATCTATCAGCTTGTAGCAAATGTAGATATCGTTTACACTTGCAATTGGAGATTATTCTAAACCAATTATTTTTGGGCGAGTTTTACAGTTCATATTAATTGCCATCAGAAGAAATTTTAATATTATTTTAGGTATGCATATTTTTTAGACCTATGGGGAACCTACCTAATTCCCTAGGCGTGAATCCATTTAGAATTACACCATATCAAATGGTTACACAAATACCACAAATTTCATAATCTATTCTTTATTCAATTTCATTCTGCAATCTGTATAATTTATTACATTTAGAGAATGCTAAATGAATATAGTAAAATAGTTGATTACAAATTAGTAGATACTCCCACTGGCATATCTACTAGAGCTAATATAATAAAAAAACTGAAAACAAAGAGCAAAAAAGCCATAAAATGTACCAAAAACATATTTTTCTTTTTGGTTATGCAAGATCATCTTCACTGTATTTTAGTCTGATATTAATTAAAATTTGTGCCATTAAAAAATCTCCAATTATGCAAGTACAAAAATTGGTATTGGTCTTTTGTGCAGATCTTTGAAAATGAATATTTAGATATTTTTTAAGGCAAGTTTGTTCAAACTCAAAACAAGTAAATTTATTTGGTGAAAATGTTATTTATTAATTCTCCTTTTAATGGATGATTAATTAAAAATTAAATACATTTGCAAAAATGAGTGAAATTACTGATGATTCTTTTTATTTGCTTATTATTCTATTTGTTCGCTCTTGTATACCTTTTTTCATATAACTGATATATTCAAAACCTGTTTAAATAATTTTTAATTAAAAATATTTTAATTATATAAAATATTTTTTTATTAAAACTGAAAAATTAATACAATTTCTACCAATTTCTTTATTAATGCTCCTAGTATACTTTTTAGTTAACTGATGCAATTGAAGATGGTTCAGATATTGTTTTATAAGAACAGTTAATTATAGTTTTATAGTCATTTAAAATGATACATTTTGATTAAATTTTAAAAATATAGGAAATTAAACCAAACAAATGAGTCATTTAAACATATTTATTCTCCTCTCAAAGTATTTTCATGTCTATTTTTTGCATTTGTTGTCTGGACTTATAAGCACATGTGTGGCTTTGAAAAAAATACAGAAAAGTTTAGAGATTCAGCTATATAAAACTTGCATTGTGGTTTTTGTAAAATGTATTGCATGATCCAGTGATCTTCCATAATTATAAATCATAAAAACAGATGCTATTTTTATAAAAAAAATTGTATTCGACCTATTGAAATTTAGGAATTTGAATGCACTCTCCACGTAGATTCCAGAATTTTCTGCATTCTATTAAAATTATGTAATTAGAATTAGAATTGAAAATTATCTTGAAGTAAATTACTGTTGTGCATCAGTATACATTTGCAGGTGAAACATGTATCAGTTCCTGGACAAGGATTTATAAAATTATTTATGAAAGTATGATGTTGTTAAATATGAATATAACTTAATTTGATTATAGGTCTTAATTATTCAAGACTGTATCTAGCATTTTAAAACGATTCATATAGATCTTATCTTATATTTCCTACTATGATGTCCTATATAGACATTAATAAAATTTAATATTTCCACGTTATCTTCAAAATCATCTTCTTCATTTTTTAGCAAATATGTTTTGTAATATACATAAATATTCAATATTACATAGCATGCAAATTTGCAAGAGTAACCTTGCAATCACCTGGTTTTCATTATTTTTAGTATCTGTCCGTTTGCTGTTCGAAATTCGCGCTTATACTTGTATCTTTCACATAGAAACAACGCTTAGGCATAAATAAAAAATACGTCATGACCTTAGGCCTTTCAACCTAGATGGATAGATGTGATTTTTTTTATAATATATTATCAAATATTTTTAGTAATCAATGTAAGAAAATCAAACACTTAATAATTTTTATTTGTATACAATAAAAAAATAATAAAAATTACAAAAATATATTGGTAAATTGATAGTAAAAATATATTAATAAATATAAAAAAATCCACAAAATATAAAGAGAACCACAAAATTCTGTTATCATATAAGAACTTTCTTCAATCTGTTATTGTTTATTTATTAACATTTTTTTTAAAATTATATATTTTGGTATTTTTTTATTCTTTCACATTTTATTAATTTTATTTTTATATTTGTTCCTTTAGAAGATATACCAGAAAAATTGCCATGAGTGTTAGATAAGTAAGTAAATAAATAAATATGGCTTAAATACTTCTAATTGATTAATGATTATAAGAACATTTGATACAAGGATCATTATTTATGAATTCTTGATTGTATGAATGCAGTATTCTTTTAATATAATAATTGGTATATATGTTAATTGTTAACATGTGCAATAAATAATCTTTAGTTTACAAACTTAACTTTTAAACATGAAATAACATTGAAAATCATATAGTATCCTAAATGTATCTATATATATTATTATTTATTATGATTTTAAAAGCAAATTTGTGTATTTATTTTAGGTGTTTAATAATAATTAAATGTTGTTTTGTGCTCAACCAAATTATAAATAACTGCTAGATTCTATTGCTGTAATTAATAATTCGATTTAATAATTTGTTTTAAAAAGAGTGATTGTATTAACCAATAATTAAAAAAGCTTTTTTTGAAATGTGATTTATAAATAATTGCTAAATTTGTTTTAAGCAGAGTATTTTCATAAACAAATAATTAATTGGGCTTTTTTATTTAAAGTATAAATGATTGCTGAATTCTATTATTATGTTTAGAAAGAAATAAGTATGTATTTGTTTAAAAAAAAAGATTTAAAGAAATAATGATCATATAGAGTTTTTTTTTAATTTGGAAAATAATAATTGCTACATTAGTTTTAAAAAGAGTATTTTTATAAAAGAATGATTAATTGAAGTTTTTTTATTTGAATTATAAATAGATGCTAAATTCCTTTGTTGTGATCAGAAAGAAATATTTATCCATTTATTTAAAAAAAAAATTGATTTTATAAGCGAATGATTAAATGAAGTTTTTTTTTCATTTGAATAATAAATAATTGATGTAATTCTGTTTTTTGTTGGTTAATGCTTTTATTGAAAACTTTGATTCTGTATAACTGATATCTGTGCTTGATATATTATTCTTTAACAAGCAATTTTATGAAATAAAAATTTATTATGTGATTATCCTTTTTCATAACAATAATTGAACATGGAATTTCATTTTATATGAGCAATTTGCAATTCTATTAAAATTGTTTTTTCAATAATTATTATTAAGGAAAAAATATTTAAAAAATTGTTTTGTAGTAAATACATATTAATGCAGAATCTTTGTGTGTTACATGTTTATATTTTACTATATAAATATATAATATTTTGAATCATACTCTTCTTTTATCTATGTTTTGAATTGTCTTCAGTTTAAACTAAATTCGAAATTATTTGATTATAGGCATTTGAATGAGAACATTCTAGTTTGAATGGTCTAAGGTAGGTGGACGAGGCCATTTTGTGTTGCGTTACTTGACGAATCAGACTTCGGCTAAAATCGTGATGTCATTATGTCTATATTGTTGTTGTGTACTTACTGAAGTTTACTAACGCTTTGATAAAGTATCCTAAATAAAAGTATAACGGTGGTTTTTGATTGAATTAATTGTAAAATCAATAAGATATAACGTTGTTAAATAAGGTAATCTGTGCTAGAAATGTATATTGTGCTCCGGAGTCGAGAAATAATCTAAAGTTTAGCCGTTTGTCACCGAGACGCTATTTCTGACAGTTACATATCAATAAAAGTATCATTGCTTGTTCTGATTCGTGAAATTTACAATAATGTCTGAGTTAATGTTATGTTCTGAACACTGATAATTACTGTTTAGTGTTTTTCAATAGATTTCCTCAAAACTGTTCTACAGCAGTGGACTCAGAATTGTGCAAAAAGCAAGCCGAATTCGGCTTTAATAAAAAAGTGAAAATTATTGACCTTCCATCCGAGAACGATACTTTTCACAATCAGTCAGACTTTCTGTAATGTACCCAAATATCTTCCAAGAGCAACACACCAAAGAAATAAGCTTCGTTCTCCCCGTTAACTTGTTACACTCAAAAAGAAAAGGAATATTTATACACCCAAACACAATGTTCAGAAATATGAGTTGCCCCCCTAATTCACAACTTGCTGGTGCTATAACGTCAATACGCCAAAGAAATTAAATCTCATAAATCAGAATCAATAAATTCATAAATCATCATAATTGCATCGTTTAACAATTATAACTATTTACTTAAATCAAAAACGAAAACAACAACTTTGTAAGCTCACACTAATTTTATTCAAATCAATCCTCGAATTCTCATCTAACCTTCACAATGAAGCTTTTAGAAAGCACTCGCTTCGAAGCTATCAATAATGCTCTTTCCATAACAACTGGAGACAGCACGATATCAGGAAGAATTGAAAGCTACAGTTGCAAACTCGCTGGAGGAGACAAAGCTATGTATAAGAGATTTAGCTCTGAGCAGGGTAGCAGGGAATTGCAGGCTCTGTCGCCTCCGCAAACACAGCTGGGAATGTCTCCGGGACAGGGATACTACAGGTCAGTTGATAATACAATGATAATATATATATATATATATATATATATATATATATATATACCATCACATTGTGATTTTATCATTTGATCATTTGATTCTGTAGTATGTAATTTAATATATCTATATAGTTAAATTCACGATTGAAATGTTTTGCTATAGTTATGATAACATTCTCTGTTATTGTAATTTTCATTGCATTTCAAACATTCAAATATCTTCTATTATTGAAAAGTTATTTCTAAATATAGAGATAAAATTTGTTTGAATATTTAATTCCATTATAAACCAAAGAAATAGATAAGCCTCGAGTTTTGTTTAATTATTGCAAAATACTTATCTATCCTATGAACTGGCTTGTATAAATATATAATGAAAAAAATGTTTATATTAATGAACTCAATAATTAACTCAAGACTGTTATTGTACTGTTATCTATTGCAAATATATAAACAAACATTTATAAACTGCAGGAAAAAAATGTAGTATCTATTTGTTTGTAATAATTGAAATATTTGTGTTGGATAGATTGCGGAGAAATATGATTTGATTAAATTTTGGATACTGTTGAAGATTTTTTCTTTTTTTTATTTTATTTTCATTCTGCAATCTATAAAAATAATTATATTTAGCAGAGAATGCTGACAAGTTATTTACAATTTATTGTTTACAAATTAGTATATACTGTTGGTTGTAAAATTTTTTTCTTGTCGGAATCAGCAACATGAAAACTGGGTTAAATAACTATTTTCTAAAATTTTACTACTTGAAATTTTGTTTTTCTTCAGCAGTAGTTCTTAGATAATGGTTGAATTTTTGGCTTTGATAATTTTTTTTTTGTAGGAATCAAAAACATGAAAACTGGTTGACTTTCAGATTTAACTAACTGGAAATTTTATTTTTCTTTCTATTTGAAATGTTTTTGGTTCAAAAAACTTCTTATTATGTAATAATTGTAAAGTTATTAGATGATGGTTGAATTTTTGGCTGTAAGAATTTTATTCTTGTAGGAATCAGAAATATGAAAACTGGGTTAAATAACATTTTTTTAATTTTATTGCTTGAAATTTTGTTTTTCCTTATAATTATTTTTTTATTAATTTATTATTTCATTTTCGGTTTAAATCAATATTAATTATATTTATTTATCAGAAGGAAATAGATTTGCTGAAAAAATGTATCATAAATATTGGATGGTGGGTACATCCTTTTTCATCTATTTTTCACTAAGCTTGCAGAGTGAGGAAAATTATATATATGTATATTATATATATATATATATATATATATATATATATATTTATATATATATATATATATATATATATTTTCTAATTATCAACTTTTTTATTAATTTTAATATCGATAAGATATTGCTCTGCTATAAGTTAAAATTAAATATATTTATAAAATTATTTAAGAAAATAGAATTTTTGTTTAAAAACGCACTTTTGGACGAGTGATTAGCTGCAATTGGACAACTAAATCTTCATTTATTATTTTGTCCTACATTTTTGCCCGACAAGTATCACATTTTTGGTTTAAATTAATTTGCTAATTATTAAAACTTATTGAATTTTAAAAGTCGCTGAATAAATTATCTCAAATTCTTTCACCTAGGTTGCCAAATGCACGTATTTTTTTTTTAAACATTATCCTACACCTGGGGTCAAAAAGGACCCCAAAGATAACTTTAGCGATCATATTTCGCAAGGTTGCACGTTTCCGAGCATTTTTTAGGCCTTTGGGTCTAAGTTTTTTTTTTTGAATATTACTGAGAAATATGTATACAATAAATATTCTTTAACCTTTTAAAAGGATTTTGTATTGTAAGGACGGGAAAATTTTTTCATTTGTAATCATTATGAGAATTTCATCCAATTTTGAGTATCGATAGGATAGAAATTAAATATGATTATTAAATGAATTTAATTATTATTAGAATAATATATTTTTTTTTAGGACCAGCTCTTTCTTTAATATTTTTCTGTTGCTTGATTACCTTACTGTACAATGTTGCTTTGCGAGCCATCGCTGTTGTCACATCTTCTCATTACCATACGCAAGTCAAACTTTCTAAAAATGTTAAAAAAAGCATTTAGGAAGTCATTGTTTATTTGATAATGACAAGTCGTTCCGAAGATACGGGGCAAAAAGTGCCAAAAATGGTAACTTAGTTTTTAAAAGAACGGGGCGTCCGATTCTAATAATTCAAAAAACATTTTACTTGTATTGACAAGATGAAGAATTCATTCAATTTTTGGGAAGGCAGGTCTAGCGGTTTCGGGGATCTCGTAAACAAAGTAAAAAAAAAATCATCAGACATGCATATGCACATCAAATTATCAGATATTTTAATATTGTGTATCAATTTTGTTTACATTTCTATGGGTTCCGTAACATCGTTTGTCCGTTTAGTATCTATGCAGCTAAAGCATATAAAGCAAAACAAATTTTTCTAACGCCATTATAGTTATAATAATTATAATAACTAGATGTAAGTTGTGTTTTACCTTGAGGCAAGTTGCATGGACTTCATGATATGCGTAGACTTAATCATGAAGAAAACAAATTTAGCAACTTCCAAAATTGAAACGATAAAATATTCAACTATGTAAATGAAATTTTGGCTTTTCATTGAAACTTAATCAAACCAATTGATATTAATTCCACATGTTATATGTTCAAAACATTAGGCCCAATATACCAAACTTTAATGATTTTGACCATGATCTCTATTTGTGCCAAAAGTTTGATTAAAATTGTTACGTTGTTTCTTCCACCTTATTTACGAAGAAACAGCAGGGACGATCTTTACCATAAACTTAGAAGCACGATTCCGAATTGATATCTTTCTAATGATTTTCAAAATATGTTCAGAATTTTTGATGAAAACCTTGATGAAAATTTTTGCTCTCAACTACTAATTATAACAAAGCGGCTTGTCCTGCAAAACTAATCTAAAATTAATAATAGACAAACAATGAATGTTTTGCGAGAGTAATTCTTTGAATGAACGTCATATAAGATATCTGTGAGATAAATTTTGCTTTTATCCGCTAATTACAAAAAAAGAACGACTCAGCCGACCGTCGCACAAAATTAATCAACGCGAGTCCTTATCGAGTTTTATCAAATAGCTTTTAAATTTTGAAATCGCTGTTTTTAGGAAACTTTCAAAGAAGGTAATAAAATTTTACCTAATACTGATGACGACGATTTTAGAAAAAAGTTACTTTCAATCTGATTGTTATATACAACATTTTTTTCCTTTATTTGCACCTATTCAAACCTGAACATCAGCAAATTTTTGGTCGTACTTAAAAAAAAGGTCTAAATCGAATGCCAATCCATTGATTGGGCGTCCAGGTATAAGGATAAATAAAAACTAGTGGTGTATGGCATCGTGCCTTAAGGCGAATTGCTGGAACTTCCCGTACCGTTTCGAAATGTTCGGGGAATATTAAATGTTTTCAAGTAAATTATTATAAATACTGTAACATTTTCTACTATTTATAAGAATTAGAATATAAATTGAATTGCAAAGTTAAAATTATTTATTTAAGGTATATAAGGGAGCTTTAGAACTTTAGCCAGAATTAAAATTAAAATCCGTATTATTTTCGATATAGAATTTTTTTTTTAAAAAAAAGAGATTTTTTTGCAAGCAATTATTTTGTCAATACAAGCAGAAAGCTTTTTGAATCATTCAAATCCAATGCTTAGTTCTTTCAAAAACTTCCATTTTTGTACATTTAGCTCTGTATTTTTTAAATGGCTGGACCTGTTTTTGCCAAAAACTAATCACCACATTTCCCTATCAATAGGAATCGAATGTTTTTTGAATCATTCAAATCGGTTGATCCATACGCCCGAAATCGTCGACGAAAAATTGTCTCCACACATACACACACACATCCACTTTTTCTGAGGTATGCCAAAATGTTCAGAAATCTCTAAAACGTGATGATATGCCAAAATTTTCATTTTCGATTTTTGGCCCATTACTATAAATTACCCTTACCCTACGGGAAGGTAATAAGAATATTAGCAAAAATAAATTTCATAGCTATCCAAAAAGCTCATATTCAGCTCAGAAATGTAACGATTACAATAATATCATTTTGTATAGATTTTCTTACCAAAGAAATGTTATGAAAAGCTTTAAGTTTCATATTGATTAATTTTATATTGTTCCGTTTATGTTTATTAATGTTTATATCGAACAAATATCAGATTTAATGTTATGAATGGACTAATTGTTGCAGCAATTTGATATCTGAACTTATTTGAATTGATACATTATTCAAGGCAAAAGTCAATAAACGCATTAAAATAAAGTTGATTGAAAAATAGCACAAGCAAATCCACCTTACTTTTTCTATTAATTTCTTCGTTTTAGGACCTTTTTAGATTTAAATGACAATTTTCCTGAGACTCCAAAACTATTTTATAGTTATGGTTTATTTAATTATAACATAGATTTTGAGTGATTTCGTAAAATATTATTAAAGACTTACAAAAAGCGATTTGACTAGTTGGTATTGGTATTTTGCCTTGAGGTAAGTTACATGAACTTCCCGATATGTGTAAATAATCGATTTAATCAATACAAAATAAATTAATTTATGAGCGATTAAAAGAATTCCGAGTGGATATATTACACCTAATTGAAAACGAACGAACACGTTAACTCGGAGTATTTTCTAAAAGCAAATTTTCACAAATCAGTAATTTTTATAATTGAACCAGTTTCCGTAGGACTTTAATGGTTCAGTATGTTCAATAAGACCAAGTATTCTATCGTTATACCAAGTAAATCGTCTAATTTTCGATTAAAAAAACTTCAAGAAAAACACTAATTTTCTTATTGATGAATTTTTAAAATTAAACTACTTGTCGTCAGGCCGTGATATTTCAGTACGTTCTATAAGACCATGATATATATCGTCAAAAAAATTCCTTCGGGAAGTTAAAAAGTAATAATAGCTGAACATTGCAC